TAAGGAGAAAGGGGGAAAAGAGAGCCTTTCTTCCTACTCTCTCACTCTCCCCTTTTTTCGCCTGTCACGGAGACCAGCATTCTACAGGATTTTCATGGATTTTAAGGGTTCAAGGATTTCAAGTTGCGAGGTTTCCAAGCATTCTAAGGGTTTTGCGCGTGGCAAGTGTTTCAAGCGTTGCGAGGGTTTCAGGCGTTTCAAGTGTTGCAGGTGTTTCAAGCGTTACAAGGGTCTCAAGCGTTGCGAGGGTTTCAAGCATTGCAAGGGTTTCAAGTATTGTAAGGGTTTCAAGCGTTGCAAGGGTTTCAAGTGTTGCGAGGGTTGCAAGAGTTATAAGGGTTTCAAGTGTTGTGAGGGTTCCAAGAGTTATAAGGGTTTCAAGTGTTGTGAGGGTTTCAAGCGTTGCAAGGGTTCCAAGTGTTGCAGGGGTTTCAAGCGTTGCGAGGGTTTCAAGCATTGCAAGGGTTTCAAGTGTTGCAAGGGTTTCAAGCGTTGCAAGGGTTTCAAGTGTTGCAAGGGTTTCATGCGTTGCAAGGGTTCCAAGTGTTGCAGGGGTTTCAAGCGTTGCGAGGGTTTCAAGTGCTGCAAGGGTTTAGAGTGTTGCAAGGGTTTCAAGCTTTGCGAAGGTTTCAAGTGTTGCAAGAGTTTCAAGCGTTGCAAGGGTTCCAAGTGTTGTAAGGGTCTTAAGCGTTGCGAAGGTTTCAAGTGTTGCAAGAGTTTCAAGTGTTGTAAGGGTTTCAAGCATTGCAAGGGGTTTCAAGTGTTGCAAGAGTTTCAAGTGTTGCAAGAGTTTCAAGCGTTGCAAGGGTTCCAAGTGTTGTAAGGGTTTCAAGCATTGCAAGGGGTTTCAAGTGTTGCAAGAGTTTCAAGTGTTGCAAGAGTTTCAAGTGTTGCAAGAGTTTCAAGCGTTGCAAGGGTTCCAAGTGTTGTAAGGGTTTCAAGCATTGCAAGGGGTTTCAAGTGTTGCAAGAGTTTCAAGTGTTGCAAGGGTTTCAAGCGTTGCAAGGGTTCCAAGTGTTGTAAGGGTTTCAAGCATTGCAAGGGGTTTCAAGTGTTGCGAAGGTTTCAAGTGTTGCAAGAGTTTCAAGCGTTGCAAGGGTTCCAAGTGTTGTAAGGGTTTCAAGCATTGCGAGGGGTTTCAAGTGTTGCAAGAGTTTCAAGTGTTGCAAGGGTTTCAAGCGTTGCAAGGGTTCCAAG